CCAACCTGGCTGTGAACACTGCCAGGGCTGGGGCAGCCACAGCCTCCCTGGGCAACCTGTGCCAGTGTCTCACCACCCTCACAGGGAAAACTTCTGCCTAAGATCTTATCTAAATTTGCCTCTTTCAATTTCTCCCCATTGCTCCTTATCCTGTCACTGCAGTTCCTACCCAAGGATCCCTCTGCAGCTTCCCTGGAGCCCCTTCAGCTCCTGGCAGGTTGCTCTGAGGTCTCCACACAACCTTCTCTTCTCCAGGCTCAACAGCCCCAGCTCTCTCAGCCTGTCCTCGTGGGGAAGGTGCTCCAGTGCCCTGATGAGCTTTGTGGCCTCCTCTAGACTTGCTCCAGCAGTTCCATGTCCCCTTTGTGTTCGGGACACCAGAACTGTGTGCAGCACTCCAGGTAAGGTCTCAGCAGAGCAGAGCAGAGACATGATACTTCTAGACTTTCCTAAAGAATTAACAAAACCCAACTTGTCCTGTCATCTAAACAACTATATCCCTGCCCACATGTTGGAAGTAACCAGGAATGACCCTATTTCTCTATTTTTAGCAGTCCTTGGAGCACACTGTGCAAGACAAAGCAGGAAATACGTACTGGATAAATATTTCCTTTCACCAAGTAGCACTTCTCTGGCTTTAGCACCAAGTAATCCCCTCGGAACGGGACCACACGAGGCTCAGGGCTGCAGCCACTGATCTCAGACAGACGGTCTGAGTACAGCCCTGCACAGGTCAGGACGTGCTGGCAGGAGATTTCCTCACCCTGTAGGGAGATCCAAACCAAAACACACAAAAATTCAATATATCTAGTAAAAAACCACCCAGAAAACCCCTACAGCCAGGTACCTTTGGATAAATAAGGCTGTTGACAGATTTCACAAAAGAGGAGCTATGATACTGCTTTTTTTATCCCAAAGCCACACAAATTCACAGCACATAGATGTGCAGAGCTGCTAAACACCTAAATACCTTATCATCTGATTAAATAAATAAAATCACAAATTATTTATTTAGCTCACAGCACCTGTTTTAAAATACTAGTTAAGTGCCATTTTTTCCTTCAACTCAAAATATTTGTATTTCAAAATTGCCAATATTTGCTGAAGGAATCTAATAGATTTTGGAAACAACTTTTTAATATAAGAGCAGAAAGAGCATAAAAAAGCAGCGGTGCTAACATTACGGACAACTTGAGGGTTTTGTCCTGACGTTCCCTCCTGCAGGTGAAGAGGTTACAATCACATTATCTGGGCAGGTTTGCCTTGCAGGACACCACCTGCACACACACCTGATTCAGTGAACCATCCTGTGGCTTTCTGATGATAAAGAGCTAATAAAATGATGCTCAACATCTCCTTATCATTTTTATAGATGCCAAAGCCCCAAAGCAAACATGAAAATAGGTGTGTGTCACCAAATGAATAAGTCATAAAAGGAAACCTTGAAAACAGGAGCCTAAGAATGGGCAAATAAAGCAGATTAGGGAGAGTGAAATAGAATTTAGGCAGCAGAAAGTTAGACTTTGTAACCTGAACTTCAGTTTAGTTCTTACCTTTTTGTTCCTGACAATAACTGGATACTTCAGCCCTGGTAACAGAATAAGACAAGAAAAGGAATTAAGAGAACAAGGAACAGAAAACTGATAGAACAAACACTATGAAGTGTTTTTCCTCTGGAGTATCTTCAGGCTATGGAGCAACTACTGTTGGGCATAGCTGGTGCTGTTGGACATACTTGTGTTTACAAATCATTAGGGGTTTTTTATTCTTCCACATATGCCCCAGCACCGTGCCTCCCAGGACAAGGGAAAATCACTATCCCAAGAACCCACATGCAAGAATCAGCTAAATCTGATGTTCACAAAGAGAAAAACCTTATTCCTCAACTTTATTATCACTTTTTTCCATCAGCTTTAAATGCTTCAGCTGGAGGGTGACCTGCCTGCAAAAAACCCCAGAGTTTGCTGAATACTCTCACTAACATCATTTTGCCTTTTGTCTCCTCCCTAGGAGACAGAAAGGTTCTGAAAACATTCAGTTAAAACAAATGACTTCTGGAACGACATCTTTGGCAGGACTGTGGTAAATGAAGGGTAAAAAACGCCTCTGCCTTACCATCTTCACTTTCTGGAGGACTTTCTTTAGCCATTTCCATGTTTGTGACTTCAAAATCTGTGAAGATTGTCCCACCTGCCTCCTGGAAGTCTTCAGCATAGGACTGGGCCACTTGTTTGTAGTCCACAATGCCAGTATATGGAGAATCAAGGGCCATCAGCCCCTGCAGTGGGATTAAACACACACAAGAACAGTGAAGGCTGGAATACTTCACCTGGAATAATGTACACTGCCATGAGGAGGGAGTTACTGCTGTCTCCTCGTTTGCAGAAGGAAATGCTCAGCTCACCTTGAACATGAAAAGGATCATTTAAGGAGTGGAGACAATTATAAGAAAAAAAATAGATAAAAGATTATTTTCCATAAAGTTTCTGTCTGTACCTACAACCTCTAAGTCATGCAGCTACCAGGTGAAACAGCACAGGGAATCTGTATCCAGGTTTTCCTTTCAATCCGAGATATACTAATCAATGACAAACCTGTATGCCATAAGCTCCACACACTTCTCCTGCTGTGATAATAAACAGGCTGAGAAGTGCTATGGAACAACCACAGGTGGAGGAAGGAAATGGACTGACATTGAGTGGATACAAATCCACACTCCCAGATGGGAAGGAATTTTAGGCTCTTCTGAACTTGTCACTCATACAAATCACCTCAAGGCCAGAAACATATTTATGTGTAAGTAAAAATTACTGTCACCTGAAAACAGATTTTAATGCTAATTCAAAGTGTGACAACCCCTTACCCTGCAGAAGGGCTCCTTGGCTTGGATTTCCTTTGCTCCAATGAGCTTCAGCCCTGGGACATTGTTCTGCAGCCCTCTCTCATACAGAGCTTTGAGTCTTGGAATTTCATCATGCTCCACGGCTACAATCAGCTTCAGGAAAGACAACAAGGCACAGCAGTGAGGAAAACACACAAGCCAAGGGCAGGTTTGGCATCCAGCCCAAGGATAGTGAATGAGTGAACAGTGAATGATGATCCAACGGGGGAAATGGTTGGTGTCATTAGTTGCACAAGATTCTATAAAAAACTACTATTGCTGAGAAGGCACAAAAATATTATGGACAGTGAAAAAACAAATGTTAAACTGTGGTTTAAGTTACTGTCAATGGATAATATTTGCTAAAAGTAGCATGAGACTACAAATCTGCAGGTGAAAGAGGTGAATATGAACTTAAAGAGACACTGGGATGGTTCCCAAAACAAACCTGAACTTAATCCAAGTTGGACAAATTGGCCTTGATAAGAGTAAGGTCATGTTCTGACATCTGTCTCAATGGAATTGCACCACCTTCCCTTCATTCAACCAGGAGTTTGCTCACAACTACCACAAGAGGTTTATCCAGGCTGTGAATTCCCTGTGCCAGGTTTGCACAGACCATACTTCCAGGCCTAGCTCAGGTCTGGCACACAGACATCTCTGTGTTGACAAGGAATGAAGTTCTCCAAGCCTGGGGCTGCTTTTTGTGAAACTTCCTGTAAAGCCTCACCGTCCTCTTCCCTGGAATGAACACTGCCAGGGAAGTGTCATAGAATCATGGAATTGTTGAGGTTGGAAAAGACCTCTAAGAGTCCCCCAAGGCCATCACTAACCATGGCCCCAAGTGCCACATCCACATGGCTTTTAAATCCCTGCAGGGATGGTGACTCCACCACTGCCCTGGGCAGCTGTGCCAGGGCTGGACAACCCTTTCCATGAAGAAATTTTCCTTAACACCCAATCTAAACCTTCCCTGGTGCACCTTGAGGCTGTTTCCTCTCATCCTGCCACTCACTGCCTGGGAGCATTGCCTGACCCCACCTGGCTGCATCTCCTGGCAGGGAGCTGGAGAGGGTGAGAAGGTTCTCCCTGAGCCTCCTTTTCTCCAGGCTGAGCCCCCACAGCTCTCTCAGCTGCTCCAGCCCCTTCCCCAGCTCCATTCCCTTCTCTGGACACCTCCAGCCTCTCAATGTCTTCCCTGTGACAGGGAGCCTGGAACTGCCCCCAGCACTGGAGGTGCCTCAGCAGTGCCTGCAGCAGTGCCAGTCACTGCCCTGGTGCTGTGCCCACACCGTGGCTGGTACAAAACACACACAATCAGTGATAGTGAAGGCACAACAACATTGAGGGGTCAGTGCCAGCCCTGCCTGACCTCTGCCTGACCCCGTAGAGCAGTGTGCTGCCTCGGTGCCTTGAGCTGGGAGCAGGCTGTCCCTCAGGTCTGTCCCTGCACAGGTCCATAGTGCCACCTTGTGCCCAGCCCTGAGGCAGAGGGAGCACAGCAGGGACACGGCCTGGAGCAGGGACACGGCTCAGGACACAGAACTGCTGAGGGACCTTCCACGGCAATGAGTGACTAACACAGCGGCAGCTGAAATTTAATGAAAGTAAACATGAAATGATGAGATCACAGAAAAAGCACTCTTAGCCCCTTCTCCCAGGCAACTGATGACAGGAGGAGAGGACATAATCTCAAACTGTGCCAGGTGAGGTTTAGATTAGACATTAGGAAGAATTTCTTCTCAGAAAGGGTGATTTGACACTCGAATGTGCTGCCCAGGGAGGTGGTGGAGTCATCATCCCTGGAGGTGTTTAAGGAGAGATTGGCTTCCACCATTACCCTGGATCATAGAATCCTACAATATCCTGAGCTGGATGGGACCCATACGGATCATCAGTCCAACTCTTGCCCTGCCCAGGTCACTCCAACAACACACCCTGTGCCTGAGAGCATTGACCAAACACTCCTGGAGCTCTGTCAGCCTTGGGGCAGTGGCCACTGCCCTGGGGAGCTGTTCCAGTGCCCAAACACCTCTGGGGGAAGAACCTTGTCCTGATATCCAACCTGAATCTGTTCCAGTGCCCAAACACCCTCTGGGGGAAGAACCTTGTCCCAGTACACAATCTAACCCTCCCCTGACACAGCTCCAGCCATTCCCTCGGGTCCTGTCGCTGGTCACCAGAGAGATCAGTGCTGCCTCTCCACTGCCTCTCGTGAGGAAGTTGTGATTCCATGATTCTATCTCAGATCAGCCCAGAGACAAGGAAAATTATTATTTAGACCCAGAAAAGAAACTGATTTGAGTTGCTGGGACAAGAAAACAAAAAGGTATATTCATCCTGAAGGTAGGAAGCGTGACAGAAACTCATCTCCTGGGAGAAAGACTAGGCCTATGCTATGTGTTGTGACATACATTACACAGCTTCAGTATCCAAAGGTAAAGTAAGCACAAAGAGGAATTCCTATACCTTCCCACACTGTTTGTATGGAATCCCCTTCTGGTCACAGTACTGGTAGCAGAGAGCAGCACCCTGCACACACAGCTTGGCCTTCAGAGAGCCAGGAGTGTAGTAAATCCCACTGTGGATCACACCACTGTTGTGTCCACTCTGGTGATGAGCTAAAGAGAAAGAAAAATGCATTATTAAAACACATTTGTTAATATTTAATCACTGAAGCTGTCAGGAAAGTGAGTGATTTGAGGTCCTGCCCTAAATCAGTGTTACAACAAGAGATGTTCAAATGAGGTAACTGCACAGCAAACACAATTAATTCCTCCCTTGGTCTCAGGTTAGAGAAACCCTGACACAGCAAGACCTGGTTAATAATCCATCACAGCCTGCAAGGGGTTGGATCAACAGGAAAAAAATAGCCCATTTTCAGTGAAGCAATTTGGGCAGGTTCTCCCTCCCAAAGGTCACTCCTGCTTCAAACTCACACAACCGTTAAGGACTTCATGTATGTCTTGGGGATAAAGTCATTGCATATCACACATGTAACATCTCAAGAGTAATTTAGGGCTGATATTTAAGACAAGAGCTTGGGCTCACAGCTCTTGTTGGGATATAACCACTGACGTGTATCCCTCGGGATTCCTCCAGCTCTGAGCAGCACTAACCTGGCCCTGCCTCTGCCTTTCTACAATCTGTACTGCTCCTTATCCAATTGTTCCCTCTCCTGGTCCTCTCCTGACACTCCAGTGCTGCTGGAGCCCCAGGCCAGCCAGACCTGTAGCTTTCAGAGAAGCAGCAACATGCAGGCTTTTTTCATATTATCATAGTGTGTGAAGGAACAGACCTTAGGGAGCATCCAGTGCAATCCCCTGCCCTGGGCAGAGACACCTCCCACCAGAGCAGGTTGCTCAAGGCTTCTTCCAACCTGGCTTTGAACACTTTATCCCATCTGTCTTCGAACACTTTTTAAACTAGAAGTCCTGATCTGAAGTTCCATCAACAAAGCACAGACTGATAATAGTTCTGCTTCTCCACTGAAGGATGCATCATTAGGAGAAGGGTAGAAGGAATTCCCTGTTGGGGCAAAGCCAGCAGTGCCAGGGAATGAAGATGCTGACCCTATGGGGAGAATCATCAGAGAAACCCAGAATGGTTTGGGTTGGAAGTGATCTAAAAGATCATCTTGTTCCACCCCCTGCCATGGGCAGGAACACCTTCCACCAGCCCAGGTTACTCCAAGCCCCATCCAACCTGGCCTGGAACACTTCCAGGCTGGGAGGATCCATCACCCACTTCAGTGACACGGGCAGATGCTCTCCCACTGCTACCACGCAACAGCTGATCCTTTTCCGGGATGTGCATGAAATGCTGAGGCTGTGGCAGTGTGTGTTTCTCAGCACAGCCTCCCCCCAGCCCACCATACCCAGCTCCCTCTCCTTCTCCAGCACCGCGAAGGACAGCGCGGGGTGACGCTGGATCAGCTCCCGGGCTGTGGCCAGGCCCACGATCCCTGCACCCACCACTGCCACATGGAACCTGCTGTGGAAACACACACACGGCTGTCAGCATCCCGGGATGGAGAGAGGGAGAAGGGGAGCGAGGGAGGGGGAAAGGGGTACAGACAGGGAATAAGGGATAGGGGAAAGGGGTTAGGGGATAGGGGATAAGGGAAAAGGGATAGGGGATAAGGGAAAAGGGATAGGGGAAGAAGATAGGGATAGGGGAAGGGGTAAGGCAAGGGGAGAGGAGAAGAGGAGAGGGGAAGGGATGGTGACAGAGAGGGAAGGGAATAGGGGAAAGCAGATAAGGGAAAGGGATAGGGGATAAAGGAAAAGAGGTAGGGATGGGGATTAAGTGATAGGGGAAGGAGATGGGGGAAGAAGATAGGGATAGGGGTAAGGCAAGGGGGGAGGAGAA